ATTCAGGAAAATGTCCACTTAAAATTTTTATCAAAGATAGCATTTGGAGAAAAGTACAAAATCAATATTAAAATTAGTCTTTTATGCTTCAGTATAAGTTTAACCTCTAGTATTTGTTGACACACTGGGTAATAGTAAACCTGATAGATATTATTAAGCCATACAACCTCAACTTGGTCTCAGTTTGTACAAATCTAAAACAAAGAATAGGTAAATGATCTTTTTAAGTCCCTTTCTAGTAGAAATACTGGTAACTTTTTAAATTCTATGACTTACACTGATCATCAGTTTCTCATATTTTTCTACTGCAAATAAACATTAGCAAGCAATAAAGTTTCCAAATAAAATCCAGGCATGATGGTGCGTGCCTGTAATCCCAGCATTTGGGAGGCTGAGACAGGCGGGTTACCATGAGTTTGAGGCTAGCCTGAACTACACATAGTGAGTTCAACTACATGGTGAGACCCTGTCTCAAAAAAAGATACATTTTCAAAAGATGAAAAATGAAGTTTAAAACTTCCTTTGAAATTAATTCAGAGTTAAAATTAAAAGATTAAATACAGTATATAAATTTTATGTATCTGAGTTCAAAATTATCTTGGGGAGGATAAAAGACAGTTTTCCCAACAACAAAAAAGATGTAAACATTTACCCAATTACATTAATTCTATAGAGCAACTGATACATCATTGAAGAACAAAAATATATGTTTTTTTGTTTGTTTTTTGAGATAGTCTTACTATATAGTTCAGGCTGGCCTTGAACTCATGGCAGTCCCTCTGCCTCAGCCTCCCAAGTGCTGGGACTACAGGTGTGCGCCATGACACCTGGCTTTGTTTTAACTTTCTACAACTCTATAACACTGAAAATTTAATGTCTTTAATGTCGAATGACTACTGCAATTAAGAGTTGTTCTTGTATCTAAAAAATCACCTTGCCTCAAAATAATCTTGATTATTAAGGTGTGACTAATTCACTGATAGGGAAGTCTGCAGCTTAATTTAACCTGTCCTACATACCAACAAAGCAATATTGTCACTGACATAGACCCAAAAAAACCCAAAAAACCCCAATTTAAAGGTTTTTACCATCTTTTTCCAAAAATTCTTAAAAATCAGAACATAACTCTATGAAAGTTTAACTCCATCGACTCAGATCTATGTTTGTCTTTCTACATTAAAAAAAGAAATACAACAGCAAAACGCACAGTTCTGGTTACTTCCATACCCTACTCTACTACCATGTATTTTGTATGTATAAGACTTTTTGCAGAAAAGGATAGGAAAATAAGCAGAAAAATATATTATTTATACTATTATTTAAAATCAGTATTCTATATCCTCTGTAACAGAATTTATGTCACCTCAATCATATATTTCCAAATGTAAATGGTTACACAAAAAGAACAGATTATATGAATAATTACATATAACAAACATCAGTCATAAATTGATACAAATGCCTGAGAATGTCTTTAAACTTATCTATATTCTAATCTACATGATTTCAGAATAGGAGTACATACTAGTTTTAACGTAAGACATTTATTTTAAATAAAGTAGACTGTAATATATAACTGATCCATGAAATAAACTTAAATAATGAAACAAAATAATCATGAATCTGAATGTTTGAGTAATAAAAAAACAACTTAAATATTCCATGATTTTTCAATTCATTGAAATTACTTTGGTTGACTTAATTAGAAAAAAAAGTCAACTTTATCACGAAGAAAAGAGGTACCATCTTAAAAGTTCTCAATTAGAAAAAAAACCAATTCCTAGTATAAGAAATAGTGTCTAGATTCAACTTCTTATCTGCAAAAGATTTCATATTATTCCTTTTAACTAATATATTTTATCAAACCACTTCACTCAAAGAATCCATTTCTCTTACCATAATTACTCATTCATCAAGAGTGTGAAATTTGAGGGAACTACTTATTTTATTAGAACCCATCATAAAGCAAGAAGTCATTAAAAATGTCCTTTAATACTAACAAGTCATTACCACTTAACACATTTAGATAACTTAGGATGGTTATTACTTACATTTAATTCAGTACAATAACTATTTTAAAAATAAACATCTCTATATTATTTTACAATAAAAAATGCTCCCTTATACTAATAATATAATCAATAAACTTTAGAAGCTTATCAACCTACTAGATAATTAATGTCCAAAAAAAGGTGAGCATTAACATACTGACCTAAAATTATTTAAGTTTTATAGCAGAAATTCTACACTTTGATTATACGGTTTTATACATTAGAATTACTATGAAAAATGTTTTTAAAAAGTCAATGTCAATACCAATACCAGGCGTCAATACTAATCCCTGTCTTCCATTTCCCTCCAGTCCTATTTCAATTGGTCTGAAACGGAGGCCAAGTAACAGTATTCGAGGTGCTTTTCTGTTTCTTGTTTTCAAGACCCTTAGATGAGGTGAATGTGAGGCAGATCTGGGAACCACTTATTTAAGATTAAAAAGACACCATGGTCTGTGGTACCAAAGGCTTTAAGTCTACTAAAACTTGGGAAAAACAAAAAGAATAAAGTAAAGTGAGAAAGATAATATTCAAAAACAACCCAAACCTACCAAACATTTTTCCCTTTAAAAAGCTTAAAATTTAAGTTCTATCTTGGACTTTGCTGACAAATCTGATGTGCTATTTTATAAACACTGCTAAACAAAAGCCTAAAAGTACAATCTAAATAGCAAGGATAAGATACAGAAATGATTATCATGTAAGTATAATACCATATAAACAATAGATTAATATAAAACCACAATGCAAATGACAGAATAACTAGTCACTTTAATAACTTTTTCTAACTTCCATACTGCTCTAAACGTTTCCTAAACCCACTTTCCTGTATCTTCACTTCTCCAGTGTTGCAAAAAAGAAAAATTCAGGTTTATGAAGATAAAAATTAGGATTTTGCATGTTTACAGAAAGTACAAAGAAATAATAAACAAACATAAGAGTATTTCCTACAAAGAAATAATAAACAAACATAAGAGTATTTCCCTTGTGAAAGCAGCCCGTACACTCCTGTATGACTGGTCTACAATAATACTCATGTAACAAGTCCAAAGAAGTGAATGTCTATGGGCAATAAGATGAAGAAAAACATTTTTAATGGTAATGAGCATATTTCCCCAAAATTCAGTTTGCAAAACTTTTGTTAGCTTTGTAATCCATCAATGTGATTGGTACAGCACATTTTTGGGTCAGTCTGGGTAATTCTTGGAGGTGTGATTTTGGGATCTGTCTGCTCCCTTGCTCCTTCCTCTCTAGTGCTTTTCCAGATTGCCAGAAACTTAAACATCTTTGCTCCAGCATGCCCTCCCACCATGACATTCCTTCCTCCCTTGGAGGTGAACCTGGAATGAAAGCCTCCAAAAGCAAAACCTCTCCTCTCTTAAGCTGTAGGTGCTGGATATTTTGTTCTAGCAATGAAACACTAATACACTATTGAAAGTAATTGAAAAAAAAACACTGCAAACATGCTGTTAAAAAAAAAAAAAAAAAAAAAACAAAACACGCTGTAGCACGGAGGGGAATGTATAAATACCATCATAACTTGTAAACACATCTCAGTATGTTTGAGATACAAACTGGGTAAGAACTTTTAAAAACTGAAAACCTTTTTTAAACTTGAAGACCAGTACTACTTTCAGAATAAAATAAAAGCTAAAACAATTATTAATGCACGGAAATCAGCTTAACTTCTATGTAATATTATTTTTCTTATGTTTTTATAGTGCTTAAAGGAAGAATTCTCTGGAGGGGACATAAAATAAGATACTCCAAGAAAAAACCTAGAAATTTTCATAAATTTTAAGTGTCTTAAATTAAATATTCAAAAATTAAATATATTATAATCCAAAATTCAGTGATATATTATAAAATTAGTATCTAACTCCCAATACCCTGGCTTAAAATGATAACAGATACAATTCTGAGACACTAGGAGAAAGCACATTTTTAATTCAGAATGGTTCAAGATGAAGGATGTGTCACTAAAAAAGTGGCATTTATATTTATAAAAGTATGATTTTATTAAATAATTCCAGCATCTGTATGTATAAATGTATCATAAAAAGAGGTCTAATAGTTTATTACAGGAATGACTTCATAGAATACTCATACAGTGTCTCATAAAGATATTACTTAGGACACACAGTAAGAAACTCTTGACAAGTATTTTTTCACATTCATCTTTCCTGAAAAAATCTGATGCACAATTTTAAGAGTTCCTGGCATCAGAAGGAACACTTCCTCATTAGCTGTTGAATTAGCTCCTAAATTTTTATTGAAATCAATACTCATACAACTTAAAAAGCATCTCCAAATCTATCTGTTTGATCCTGTAAAGAATACACTGGTGAACAGAACGTGAAGTAATGGAAAAGGAAAGATCAACAAAGATAACTGGAGAAGTAATTACTGCCTTGCTGTCAGCTGTTTTATGATTGTTAAACTCTACACATGTATATATAAACATACCTACTAACACACAGACACAAACGTGCACATGTACGAAGTGTAAACATTTTCTACTATTTAGTACCATTCTAAAGACAATGCATAAATAAAAAAGAAAGTCGTATTGCCATAATTATGGACTAAAGATTCACAGAAAGAAGGAAGAGAGGAAAGGAAAGGAAGAAGGAAGGGGAGAGGTGGATAGGGAGATGGATTCATATATAAGTATACTGGAGAAGGGATGCAAAATACAGAAAAAACTTTAACTAAACTAATACATGATTCATAGTCCTAAAATGATATAAGGACATAACATAAGAGCCACCCTAGGGTAAATGTGAGCTAGACCAAAAAAAAAAAAAAAAAAATTAAAATACTACAAGATAATCATATTACCAAAAGCAAGTCAAAGTTAACTTATTGCTTTTATACTTTGCATTTTAAAATGTGTTTCCTTAAAAAATAAGTTTTCTGTGACTACATCTAAAGATTAATTCATTTTACCTTCCACAGAAGGTGCCTGGTCCTGAGCTGAATACAGCATATCCTTGAAAGCCTGTAAGAAAGAAAGAAAAGCAATACATGAAATCTTAAGTAAACTTTATATTAAAAGCATGTGAAGCTAAACAATTCTTTTTCAATAACCAGACAAAGACCACACATAGTTCCCTAAATAATTCAGTGAAATACTTTATTTAACTTTAATGACCCATTAAATCAATGTGTAATTTTTTAAATGAGCAATAATTTGTACTTTAAAAATTAAAGGCATTGGAAAAGAATGAAAAATCACCTAGGAGATCATAAACCCTCTTCACTAGACAAAACAACAGAAACAGAATAAAAGTCCTCCAGAAATACCATAGAACACTGCCTAAGATAATATGATGAATTAGATACTAGTTTGTCTTTGTTTTTGGTTTTTTTGATAATGTATTGGTAACATAAAATTCATCATCTTAACCAGTTTTAAGTGCACAATTCAGTAGTGTTTACTACTTTCACATTCTTCTGCAACAAGTCTCCAAAACTTTTTCATCGTGGATAGAAATACTTTTCAGGGAAGTTCTGCAAAGTCTCTATAAGAACTTAGAACTATAGTTTATTTAGGTTTAATTTTTTCCCCAAACGACACAGTAGATTAGCTAACAAGCAGGTTTAGGCAATTTGGATAGCTGTAATTCGGTAGTTGGAGAACAGGAACGAGAAGCATTTCCTTCATGTATCAAATAGTTGAATCAGGTTAAGTGGTTAAGGATCAAGGGCTTAAGTGACTTTAATACAGTTCCATAGCTTCAAATACCATCTAAACACTGGTGATTCTGAAACTGGCCTTAGGAGTTCCTTGATCTTGGTACAACCGACATTTTGGCACAGATAATTCCCTCTTTGGGGGTGGAGGGTTTACTACTCAATGCAGCAGAGGATATCCTGGCATCCCTGGTTAAATACCAACATCAACCCTCCTGGTTGTGACATTGACAAATGTCCCCTGGGAGGCAAAATTATCTCTCTTTTGTCCAACAGGCCTACAGTTATTCAAGCATACCTGTATAAATACCAAAAAGGAAGATGTAAACATCCAGCATAACCACACATTTTTAAAAAGAATATTCAGGTCTAGTAAATTATATTCTCCCCAACTGGATTTACTATTTGCTTTGGGTGGTCGACCTGTTAATTCCATGATTAACCAGCCTAACAATATACAAAAAAAAAGATTTTCAATGAAATAAGGAAAATTAAAATTTCTAAATCAATTCATTTTTATTCATTTTAATCCATTTTATTAAAGTATAGAAGCTGGATGTGACGGCACAACACTGTAATCCCAGCACTATGTGAGGATGAGGAAAGAGGATCCAAGTTCCAGCCCAGCCTAGGCTAGTTAGCTATTTATTTATTTATTTATTTATTGCCTAGGCAATTTAGTCTCAAAACAAAACCATTTTTAAAAAGCCTAGAGATACAGCTCAATCCCCCCGAGAAGGGGGCTTGAGGGGGAAGTGTTTGCAGAAAAATTATGTATAGATACAAAAAATTTTAATATCACACATGCTTAAATCCAAAAATATTCAGTAAGATTCACTGTACAGAATTTGAGGCTATCTAGTAACACAACTTAAGTGTAATCTGAAAAAACTGTTATTTGGTCTTTGTGGCTAGTTCCAGGCACAGAGCCCCTAAAACCTTTGGAATTTACTGTCTTTTATATGCAAATAAGATGGCTCAATAAAAGGTGCCACTCCACAGCATCAGCATGGGAGCTGTAGAAAGAAATGATCAGCTCTACCTCCCAGCCTCTGGCAACGGGAGATGTGCTAGAAACCCAGTTCAATCACCAATGGAAATGATTTAATCGATCAGATGTGTGTAATGAAATTTCTACAAAAACTTAAATATCAAGAATCTCACAACTTCTAGGTTGTGAACAAATCAATGTGCTAGAGAGGGCATTGAAGCTATGCAATCCTCATCCTCATATTGTAAACTTTTGGGAAAACCTTTATTAGTGAACCAGTTTTTCTAAGGTTATATTTTGAAGCACAACCTCAAATTTTCAAGCATTAATCTTGTACATAATGCTAGATCAATGTGACAAACCTCCCTTAAGAAAAATATATACACATTATTTTCTTTGATTTTAGATGTCTTGGGATCCACTAACTTACAAATTAAAATAAGAAGTTATTCCAGGAGATCTTATCAAACATCAGGAAGTCTTTATTTCAGTTCACAGAGCAGAATTTTATAAAAGTCCTATGCAGGTATAGAATGGTAATCATATTACCAGTCACTGACAAGCTATCTCAAAAGGGTAAATGAACAGAAGATTGCTAAAAGCAGAATAAATTTCTAGAAGTAAAAAAATATAGGTAGTAGAAGAATATAAGAAGAGACAAACAAATCTAGTGACACAAAAGTTACGGAAATAAACCCATCTTGGAACAAGTAATGTAAGAGACTCAAATGTTTGAATGAAATCTTGCTACTTCTGGGGTACAATAGGAAAGTGTACCAAAATAAATTATGCTATCAAGAACCAAATAAACCAACAGCTACTAGATTGACTTGTGATAAGAGCTCAATAAATAGCTCTTGAACTCAAGAATACCTTCTCCAGAGAAAATTAAAGATGATTAACTGAGTATACTAAGTGGAATCTGACATATGAGAGTGAATTAAATATGCAAATCTTGCATATTTAAGTTTTTAAAAGTCAAATTAAATTAAGTTTTTAAAAGTCAAATTAAAATTTTATATGGAGAAAAATAATATTCTTCATTCAGATTATAAAATGAAATTATTTCATTTCAATCAAGACAAATCTCAGCAAAATCATGAGCAACTCTTCTTTCTCTTCTTACTACATTTTCCTCTGATTCAGAAACCATTTATTTTTTGATAATAACACTCTAGAAAACTCCACAAACAGGGAAATCATGTCTGTAACAAGAGAACAGACTCCAATCACAACAACAACAAAAAAATCTACAAGGCACTGTCTCTATCCGTACCTATAGACTGTTTGTCTATGTGTCACCCAAAGGACTTGCCTGGATTGGAATCAGTATATCCAAATCACAAAACAAAGAGTTTCTTTTAACTCACGCTATTCTACTTTAAGGAAACCCAACACTATATAAAACACTGCATTTGTATAATAAATTAGTATATACTTAAGTGCATTACAAAAGCTTTTAAAATTGCCAATTAAAAGCAATCCTTTACATCAGTATCTCTACTATAATCTTAGTGTTAAATTTTTTAATAATGCTATTAGAATACATACAAATAAAGACAAACTAAAGTTTATAAAAACACAACAGTAATATCTTAAAAATTAATTCCAAATGTAACTACAAAACTCAAAAATATTAACATGAAGGAAAAAAGATGCTTTTTTGAGAAAACAAAATCTCAACTTCTAAACATCCATAAATTGTTGACTGGCAAAAATGCATGATCCTTTGGGCTTAGATTGCCTATCTTATTTTGTGTTGGATATGATACAGTTCTCCAAGTATCTATCTCTACAGTGAGGCAGCACAGCAAAGTGATCAGGAGCTTTGGAGTCAGACAATACATATAAAAACCAACTTGCAACACTTATAAATTGTGTAAATCTGGGAAAAATTAGTATCTCTGTACTCTGACATCCTCATCTGTAAAACACAAATGGTGACCACATTTATCCTTTCAGATCTATCATGAGGATTAAAAACATTTAAAACTTATATTCCTATATGAATTTTTATTCATAACTATACATGAAGGACATTGCCAAGAATATAAAAGATGCTCAAAACATGTTAGCTAACAGAATATGAACTAGATCATACAGGACTATGATGTGGCATCATCAGGACCTTTACTAGGCTTGAATATATGATCTGTGTATTAGACATGCCTTAGTCAGTCAACCCATTGCGGAGGAAGAAATCCAGGGCCTCACAAATGCTTGGCAAGTGTAGTTCTATCTAGAATCAATACGGTCAAAGAAGCATAATCATAAAACATAAACATAAATATTGCAATTTCCTGATGTTGCTAGTCTATAAAATAGTCATCTAAGTGAATATGTTTCTGTTGTATTTCAGATTACTGATGAGAACATAAAATACTTTTACTTTTCATTGGAAACCTACAGACTCCTAACAAAATATGTACAATTTTTGAGTATACAATATATGCTATATTGTATACATATATATACAATGTATACCCAATTTGAGTATGCTTTAAAAAGCAAGTCCTCCTAATTATACAATATTCAATCTAAAATTAAGCTTTGTACAATATAAGTATTACACAATGTAGTATGGTTCAAATGATGAGAACACCAAAACAAATTTCTTATGTTGCTAATTTTTAATAATCCACAGTAGATCATCACTAACTTCCTTTCCAATATACAAATGGGTTTCACAAACCATCTAAAGAAGACCAGAAGCTAGAAGCAACTCTTTCCTATCAGTTCATAATTAGCCTCATACATAACTACTAGAAATATTATCACCATCATTAATAAAGTATCTATGTTGCTCTTTTACTTCAACATTCATTTGAAGTCAGCACATTGCAACCTACTGAATAAAATAAAGTAAATAAACACAAGCATCTAAAGCATAGAGTATTTGTTCTCATAAACCTTTAAAGTACGCATAACTCCTGTTAATGTTTTCCAACTAGATAAAATTTACATAAGATCCTTTTTAACTGAACAACTTTTCCAAATGAAACCTTAATAAAAATTTAGATATTTTTTAAAAATATGTACATTATTGCTGATATACATCCCATAAAAATATTCTCCAGTTATTTCTCTTTCAGTTTCCATTTCCTTCTTCTGTGTTTCCATTTTAATTTATTTCACCCAAAATAGTAGGTAGCCTGTGAATAATATACAAGTCAATTAAATGTGACATAGTTTGTCTTGTCATCTAGATATAAGTAATACTTCCCTGATAGCACAATGCATAGGGCAGTTGTATAAATCAACAATAAACCCCAAAAGAAGGCACCTAGCATTCTGTACAAGGAATCAATATCCTAAATAACTGTCATCTCTATTCCTTAATAAACTAATCTAGAGTTCTGATGATAGAAATAATCTGTAAAGCCAATAAAAACTCATGTAAATTCTTATAACCTATTAAAATGTAATATTAATGTACTCTTGTACATACCTAATCTAAAACCTATGGCATTACAAAAGCATCATGTATAAATCAAAACTTTGAAGTAGTAGTCAGTAAGAAGCAATTCAATATACAGAAATTATTAAATTAAGTGTACACAGAATATATACAATACATGTCTTTTGTAATAGGAAGAATTTGGAATATATGTCATGTTATATTGTGAATATATTGGAATATATGTCATGTTATATTTGGAATATATGTCATGTTATATTTATAAACTTCTACACTAACATATTCTTATACCCCCTGACATACATAGGTTTTACTATTTCCATATAGACACCCATCAATCTGTATCCTTAGCCATATGTCTGGGAGTACAAACACAGAATGTTCAAGATTAAATTTATTTTCTTCCCCAAACCTTTTTCTTCTTCTATGTCTTTTATTTCTGTTAATGTCTTCACACCAATGTCCATACAAATTCACAATCTCAGTCATCATGGCCTTGTTCATTTCAAAAAATATCTAAGTACCTACAATATGTCAAGCATTGTCTTAGACACGTGACACATCACGAGGAAAATAAAAATCCCTATCCTAAGGAACTGACACATTTTTCTTCTTTTCACTCATGTATATACAGATATGGTCCAGCTGATATCACCATCACTACCTCTTTCACATTCATTTTCTCCTATCCTTTTACCTAAACTTTA